AAGCTTCTAACTGAGGTGTGCCAATAAAGTGCCTAAAATTCTCTGGGGTAAGTTTGAGCCCAATAGCTTTGAATTCAATTTAGTATTCTACATAAAGTCCATATAGAGTGTGTATGGAAGAGACACAAAACAGTGTCAGTAGTAGCTGCAACTCTGTAAGTGGTGACAGCAAAACAAGAAACCCAAAATGAAACAACAACAAAAAGAGCAAAAAACTGAGGACATAACACTACCAGAATAGAACATCATAGTCAGTGTGAGATGGTAGAAGGCTCTATTTGTGGATGTTGTTATGAGAGCTTAGTGTCAGCAAAGAAATCAAAAAGCACTCTGAAATTAAAAATTAAATTGAACAATTGTTATTGTATACATTCAATCAAAAAAAATTTGCTCTATTTGCAAATTCATTCAAGTGATTTCTCACTTTCAACCAGTCGTTCTTCATCCAAGAGCAGGGGTTTTTTTCTCAGATTTATTAGAGCTTGCACAAAGCACTCTCACTTGCTCAGTTCTCTTCAGATCTTTCTCCCATTGCTCAACACTAACACTTTTAGTGGAGTTGCTTGCAAATAGTTCCTCTCCTCTTTATTTCCTTTACTGCCATACCCTGGGACTGTATTGGTGTGTTTTCCACAGATGGTGTATTCAAATGTGTTAAAACAGCAGAGTTTCAGAGCAGATAAATTAATGCTCTGCAACAACCTTGCAGGATCAATTTTTATTTTGAGCATTTGAATAATTTTGAACATAATTAAGCTCTTTAGTTAAAAAGAACCAAACAAACTAAACCAAAAAGTCACGAAGGTGTTGCAAAGAAAGTGTTGGAGGAAAAGGGTTGCTAAGACTTAAATACTGCAAGTTTGTGAAGAAATTCAATATTGAAAAAAGTGAGTTGTGGTAGCAGACTTGCAGAGGAAAGTCATGTGGATATATGTAGTCAGAACCACTTTTAAAAATTGCTATTCCACGTGCTGAAAGATACCTAAATTTCAACAATTCAGATTCTGGGTAAAGTTATGTTTCTGCTCAGAAATAGAAAGGTGGTTGGAATAGGTATGTCTAGGTTGGAATAGGTATGTCTATTCACCATGCATTTATGATTTTCTTCCAGCAGATGGGAATAAAATTACACAACAGTATAGGTAAAATAGAAGTCCCCATAAGCAAGCAGACATCCCAAAGTATTTAAGTAAGATGAAAACATGAAATAAATTCCACTAATGGCCTACATTAAATTACAAAATTTGAATGCTGCCATTAAATGGTTTGTACTTTTGTTGCAATGCTATTAAGGATGAAACACCTAAAGATCACACAAACAGACACATGAATATAGATACAAGCCTTTTACTAGAGTAAGATTTAAATGCTATTATCAAGAATGAAAACAATATTTTGGATCTATGGTCCTCTGCTGAAAAGGCCATGCAAATTCAACAGATAATTAAGCTTAGCTAAACCAATAAAAAAGATATGCATTAGCTTTCAGCTGCCACACTATCTTTTTAAAAAAATATTGTAAGTATATATATGAAACATATGGGTGTATTTTAATGGGTGTTTTTCAGCACAGCATGACAGCTTGAGATCCCAGAGAAACCCTGCACAGTGCACTGCTGCCCTCTGGCTGAAGCCTGAAAGAATAAAATTTGAATATTCACCTAGTACATAACATCATCATCTTGACATGCTGGAGACATGTTAGCTAACAAATTCAGTTCTCTTTTATATCTCATGAAACCTGAAGCCTGGTTAGAAGTATGGAATTTCCAAATTGAAAATAAACTACTGTATGAAAGGGTTTGTAGCTTTTGCATTATTTTTCGGATCCTACATCACAAAAGAGATCAAGTCATGATGTGTACCAGGGGTATGAGGTGCCTCCATTTCTCATTGCATACATCCAACATAAAATTTGCCTGATCAATGATATTATAGTGTTTCACTACATTTTCACTGTGTTCCTAGTGTTCCATTACTTTATATGTCTAACTGTAGCTGTACACCAGTTTTTCTGACTGCTTTGCTACTCTGTATCTTCTGGTGTGCTTTCTTCTTTCATACACTGACTATGGATAGATTTCTCCCATTAAAAATAATGTGAAAAAATAAATGATAAAAAATAAAAAAATTATTTAAAATAATGATTTAAAATAATTTCTTATCTCCTAAAACAGATAGTCTAGCAGTCTGTTCAACATGGCACCCAGCAAACAATGAAAATGAGCCATCCTATTACAAATGTAAATATTATGAAGGTACCATGAACCAGCATATACTATCTTAGTGCATCATAAATTGCACTGTGGAGTCCCTTATCAAAACACTGCCACTTTTGACTGACATCTACCTGGTTCCAGTTTCATTCTCTTTAACACTCTGACATATTCCAGAGTGAAGAGTACTTTTAGGCAACACTTGAAGATCAAATTTTAATGATACAACAGTCAATAATAATTAATTTCAGCTGAACAGAGTGAAGTAATTAACTTTTTCTTGTTGTCTTTCTAAGGAATATGCATGAAAACTTAGTTGGGGGGATACATGAAAATTTCAAATTCATAGCTGCTCAAGTTGAAATAAATGTTTTTATGTTTTCTCACAAAGTTGGAGATACTCCATTTTGATTATATAGAATATATTTAGGTAAAGGTATTGAACAATATTGACCAAAATTTGGGACCCACTAGCTTCAGACTCCATCTATGAACTTTCTAGTTTAAAAAAAAAATAGCATTCATTTGCCAGAAACATGAAATGTTTCCATTTAATCATATATCAATGTCTTTTCAGAGTATGAATCATCGAGGAGTATGAGTAATTACTTAGAAAATACCTGTAGATTTATTTCACTGGTTTACCTTATCTCATTATAACTGTTCATAACTTGTAGAACATCAGTTCTAGACACCTGAGGTTTTTTTGTTTTATAAATAATGGCTTTCTGTCAATCTATTCAGGTAGTTGGACATATACAGCAAAAGGTTTAGGTATGTTATTTTGTCAATGTTGTGATAAGAAAAGTTATGGATAATATATGTAGGATATATAATAAACTTCATGTTTATTAAATTCAGTTATAGAAGTCCATTATATATTTTTTAAAGTGAAGGTATACAGTGGCAGATAATTATAAATCCGAGACAAATGAGAAACTGTCTCATAATCCACACCAACGAATAACTTTTAATGTGTGACTGCTGTGACTAAATATTAAGTATGGTAAGTAAGGTCTCTGAGAAAGAGAATAATTTTTATGTGTGTCATCTGCCCAGAGCTTGTGAAAATGGTAAGTAACCAGAAAGAGAAAAGACAGATTTCCAGAGCTCCTGAAGAAGAGCTTGGGCAGCAAAACATAAGAATTTTTTTCAGAATGGGAAAAATTTCTGCTTAAATGCAAGGCTATGCAAATATATGCCCAATGCAAATTAGCCTCTAGCAAAGAAAAATAGTCCCCTGTATGCCTGAAAATTAGGCATTCAAAAATGTATCATGAGAGTAAGAGAGAGAATCAAATTCACAGAGCAATCACAGAGTGAGACATGGGAATTCATCATGTTTCTTTAGATTATTTATTTCCTCTTGCTACCTGAGTATAAAACGAGTTCTTTGGAACCACACAAAAAGCTTGAGCATACCAGGTGCTACATTTAAATTACAATACTTGGTAGGGGAAGAATGGAAGATCCATCAGTAGGCAAGTAGCACATTCCTGTTCACACCTTCCTAATTCAGCAAGTTGACAGAGGCATTGACTGAATCTTGTTTTTACTCCACTGATGACCAAACTTTCACTCACAAATTCCAACACATAGATCAAAATATTGTGACAAGATAAAGAACACCAGAAATCATTGTTAACGCAGTGGTGGTGCAAGAAACAAATGTTATCTTTAATAATAAAGGATGACAGCAGCAACAAGAACAAAGAGCAAATCTAAACCCCACCTCCTGCTATTCCTAAAAATTATTTTTCTTTACACCAGCTGCCATTTCTAATTTTAGGATTGGGTCTTTTGTCCCTCTATTTTAACCACGACTTTTCAGTCTCTGAATTTGCATCTTCAATCTTTCTTTCTGGTTTCAACTTACTCTTTCTGCTTCTCTCCTCAGTCACTTTCTGCATACTTGATAAAATCAAGTTTCCCAATGAAGTACAGTTCAGGCTCTAAAATCTCTGGTTTTCTTGCCCTTTTTATTTTTCCTCATTTGCCATTTAAATCTGAGTTAATTCATTAACCATCAAAACAGATACAAAACCAGCTCATTTTTATTGTACTCTGGCCTGACACTGCTGCCTTTCTATGAATAATTCCCTCTTTAAGTTACCATTTGATTTCTTTTAGTATCTATATTAACTATAATTCTTGAAAACTCCATTCAGCAGCAAAGTTCATGATGTATAGATTATTATGTAATTCATCCTGATTTTTTTATTTATGTCCATTAAGATACTGATTCCTGCCTCTACAGGTTCTATAGCCTCAGTCCTTTGCTCCTCTCTCTACAATGTTCATTGTTCTAGTTTATATTTTAAATCAAACTCACATTCTTCTGCTTTAGCAACCTATCAGTTACTGAATAGGCTGGAACAAATCCCATAACCAAGCTGAACACAAAATTCCTTGCCTTCCCCAGTTCTAAACCCCACCCCTCATCACTGTCCCCATCACTCCCATTTTTCTGCATGTGATACAGTCCTGTCACAGTGGTTGCAGTTGCTCTTCTTCTCCATTTCACCTTCTCTTTTCTTCTTTTCACCAGCAGGTCTGCCCAAAAACCTCCACCTGTTTTTTAAGAACTTGTTCATGCTATTTCATTAATATACCAGCTTTGTGCTGCCATGAGTGCATATGAACAATTAAATATAATTACCATGTGCTATACAAAGGAGGGGGGGAAATCCCAAAGCATTTTAAAATATATTTAAAACTAATTTGAAGAATCTGAGCCATTCACTATATGCATTTACACAGCACCACTACAGAAGAGTGCTTCTTCTAAATAAAATATCCTAGGCATTTATTCCTTTCACTATCCATTTCTTCGGTTTCTAACTCATAATGTTTCATGGCAACAAAATATCGGATAAAACTTTCGCCTAATGCTTCCTTAATGCACGAATCTTTCTCAAGTGCAACCAGAGCATCTTCTAGTTTCAGAGGGATAGATGAGTGTTTCAGATCACCAGTGTGATTTTCCTCTTCAAGCATATCATCATACCTGAGTCCTCTCTTTACTCCATCTAGACCTGCAGCAATAGTAGCAGCAAGGACCAGGTACGGGTTTGCTGCAGCAGAACTTAATTTATTCTCTATGTAAGTGCCTTTTCCACCATGACATTTGACATTAAAGGCACAGCTGTTATCATTATATGCCCATTTTGCATTTACAGTCTCTTTTGATTCTTTGCTGTATTTAGAATACGACTTGCGGCAGCTGGTGGTAGGAGCCATCAAGCAGCTGATAGCTGCCGTGTGTGCCAAGAGACCTGACAACCAGTTTTTCCCAACCTCTGAGAGCTCCTCCACTCCATAACCGGCAGAAAACAAATTCTTCTGGCCATTCAGATCCCACAGGCTGTGTGATAGAGCCCCTGAATTGTAGAATCCTGATTCTGAGAAAAAGCTAGCCACGTAATTGTACTTCTTAGCCACCTCTTTAAGGCCTGTTCTAAATGTGAAGGCACTGTCAGCTGCATCTAGGCCAAACGCTGGATGAAAAGTGATCTCCATTTGCCCAGGCCCACTGGAAGAAGAAAAGCTTTCAATGTTGGCACCAGCATAATACATTCCTTCAATGAGCTCCTGAATGAAAGTCTGGTCATGGTTATTTAGTATCGTGGCTGCAGGAAAGGATATTGTCTTTGAATTTACAACCTCGGTAATGCCATAAATACAGAATTCATAAGTGAATGCAGAGTGCAAAGAAAAGCCACTGTCCTGAAGCTGGCTCAGCTGTTTCTTGGCAATGTGCCTTGGGGAGGTCATTAGTGGGGTGCCCAGCACGGTGAAGGAGTCACATATCACTCTTGCAGTCTGCTCAGTCCAGGGTAGTATTCGAAATGTTGATAAATCAGGGTTCAGTATTATGTCACAATTGAAATTGGTTGCATTTATGTAATCTAATTCATTATCTTTAGGATTCAGCGTCAGTTCAAGGTAACTTCTGGGCATGGCAATACCATGAATTGCTTTCTCCTAAACACAGAGCAGAATGACATATTACCAAACTAGAAAAGAGCTCAACGGTATTTTTATGTATGTAAAAGACATAAAATTCAGATTCTCAAGTAGAACAATGATATTTTCATAAAAGAACACTAAAATGCAGTGATCACTGACATGAAGGGTAAGAGCCAGTTGCTGTGTCTTTATAAAGCAGAACAACTTTCTGCAAGATTGGCATGAGAACTGTAATGTCAATGATGATTTTTTAAATTTCCATAAAGGACAAAAAATTGTTCAACATTTTTCTTGCATGGTGTTTATATAATTATGGGTATCACCAGTTAGGTGCACACTTTGCAAGTCAGACTTTTATCTACAGTTAGTCTATTTAGCTTCTATACCCTCTGACCAATTTTTTAACGTAGGCCCAAGTGACCACACAAGACTCAATTCAATTCAGGTTGTAACTTCTCTTTTAATACTGTTTTTCAGATGCAACATTTAACAGAAAAATTGCACTTTCTAGACTTAAAAAGTTTGGGGCAAAATACAGGGAACCACTTACAGGTGAGAAAAATTCATAATTATACTTTCTTCTCCATTTGAACAGAAAGTTTCAACTGATGAAAATGAAATGCAGGTAAGACCCCAAGGAAGGATCATCTACCTCCAATCAAGCACCTTTACAACTTCCCTTACAATCAAACATTTTTCTGATGAAAGTTGCAATTAGGCCAAGTTCTATCAAGTGAAATTTGGTTCATATTTACATCTTACCTTCATTATTCTAAGGGAAAAATTTGTTATTTGTGTGAGCAGAGGAGACAGAACAAACCCAGAGAGGGGAAAGCTCAGAGCTGAAAATAGCCAATTTTGCATTTTCATATGGAAACTGCATGTGGTGGCTTCACTTAATATGAATTAATTAATTAATTAATTAAGTCTGTCTTCTTTTAAGCAGGTGGCAGTCAACAGTATCAATGTGTGACACCCATAACCAAAACTGCACTACTCTGGTGAACCCTGCTCCAAGATGTTTAAGCTGTCCCTGTGGCACTGAAAAAGGTGTCAAAGGTGACTTACCCATAGTAGTACCTCTCCCACCTTGAACACTGCTACCTAATTTATCCTGCTTCCAGTTTGATTTTTATTTCCTGAATCATTACTATGGCAAACATTGCTGTTAAATCATTGTGCAACTCAGTGATATTTTCCTATCTTATTGATAATTATGACATTTCTCATAACTAAAATTATTTTATTTTCAGTCATTTTATTTCTTTCAGTGTTTACTCCTTTGTTTTTTGAAATTTAAAGATGTTCGGCAAACTAAAATTTTTATAATGTGTTGAATCTGAAAAGATATTTCAGAGGGAAGAGATTATTAGAACTTCAAATAACTGAAATTATTAGCCTTATCTAATTAGATTACTATTTGGAGGAAAAGAGGAATAAATGATTGCAGTGATGAAAGAAGTCTAGATCCTTTGTGAACATGAGCAAGGGGAGGGAACAGATAATTTCTTCTAAGTTGGAGTTGTTGCCTTCAGTATGAAAAAATATATAATTTAAGGATGGGGGCATGAAAACACATAAAGGTACAACTGGAAACCAAAAACTTACTTGAAAAAATCGAGAAGGAACATTCTTTGATCTTGACACACCATGGAGGTCGATTGATTCAAATCTGACAAACTGCACATTGTCCCTGGCCATCTGCTGCTTAATGAATTCAATATGAGAGAACAGGTAAAGGAGAGTTGGGTTTCCGAGGCCGTTTACGTCAGGGTCTCTGTTGAATGCTGGAAGTGAAGAGGAGTGTTCACGTCAAACAAAATAATGAATGCTGGAATAAGGCTCTCCTAAAAAGTGCAATAGTAGGAAATTGTGGCATGGGGTGTAAAAACAGAAATAACAAAAGGGTTTGGATCATGAAAGAGTTTTGCAAATAAACACATGTATTTTTCCCTCACATTCTGTATAAAATTCCTTGTTTTTTTGGAATGGTCTGTAATTTAAACTCTTTTTTCAAGTTAAGAAAAGAACACATGATAAAACCAGGAATTTATGAGGTTTGTTGAGGGTTTTTAGGAGCAAAAGCGGTAATTGGATAGCTATTTCCCACTAAAAACTGACAGAATACAGGGATTGTTTCTTGAATGACTTTGTAAAGTGTGTTGATACGGAAACATAATAAAAAAGGCTCTTGTCTTCTACTAAACCTTTCTTGAGGTCTCTTGGGGAGGATTGCTTTCTTCTCCAGCACAGGCAGTGACTTTTAAGAGAAGTTCAGGCATTTATACATTTGCTGTTATGGAGTCATCAACTGTATTGCAGAAGCTGTAGGGCACTGTAAACTTCTTGACATGAAGGCAATAACACCCGAGTATAACTTCTATAATGGAGCAGAGAGATGGGCACAGTAACTTCCTTTCTCCAACCTCAATCTCTCAGCCTGCTTTTCTTTGGAGTATCTATGCATTGTTTTTATTCAAGTTAAACTACATAAGGCATTAACTTCCACTTGGTACAATAAAATAAAACCTAAACTAAACCAAGAGTAAAATTTTATATTAATGGGCAAAAAATGGGGAAAAATGTATTTCTTTTCACACTTCTGGGAGAAAAGTCCTCCATTCTTTCTGAGGATGTGCACAGATGAATTTTTGCAGACATTTCAAATCCACAGTGAAAGATCACCAACAGCAAGCATTCACTGCCAACCTTCAAGTGGAAGTTTAAAGCTTCATGCTGAGGCACTTTGAAGGTTGCTGGGAGCAATCCTAATCTCTCCAGTAGCAAAGTCCCCAGACTAGAGCAGATGTCCTCTAGCAGCAGCCAGCAGGCACAAACACAGCTTTTTGACCTCTCCTTTGGGGCAAGTAGCACTGCCAGTGGCAATGCTGTAAGAAGGCTCACCAGCTGGCCCAGCACAAGGCTGTCAGATTATTCCCTGAGAAGGCCAAAAATTCATCAGTAGTCACAGACTTCTCAGAATCTTTGAGTATAACTGGAACATTCTCTAGCTTAGATGGTAAGGAGGATACTTTAGGTCAGTTAAGTAAGAAAAAGTTAAGTTATAATAGTGCTTCATGAGGAATGGCAGCTGAAAGCACAGAACAAAATTTAAGTAAATAGGAGAACAGAGTAAAAATTGAACAGAAAGAAAATAATTTCGTCACATTTACTTCTCCTCATGACATGTTTCTCTTTGGCTTGTTTCAGCTCTAAATTCTTTATGAAAATAGCTTTTTTATCCTAATGTCTTCTATAAACATTGGGGCAATATGCCCTTTAAAAGATGAGTATTAAATAATGAAGTCCTGTTTAAAAGTTTTGTGTAACACTCACTCTGTTGCAGGTGCTGCCAAAACACAAGAGCAAGCAGGGAGGACTGGCCTTGCCTTGCCTATGCCACCAAGTTATTTGAATACCACTTCAGTCATCCTGTCATGTTGTTTTACAATATATGGGTTTACTGGCATTTACCAGATTTGACTTTTTATGAACATGACCAATATTTAGAAGTTTATTAAGAGGCATAAACTGTGGCTGTTTAATAGTTTAACTTTAGAAGATTCTGAAAATCTTCCTAAAGTTTATATCAAGATAATTTTTTTTTTACTCCAGGGACAGAAATCTGAGGTTTTTACCTTTAAAGCAGTGCTCACTGCCTTATTTTATACGTGTTTAATTTCCTTGGCAAAGATGGTAAACATTTCCTGTCAACCACCTGTCACACTGAGATCTTTATGTCTTTGTATTGTTCAAAAAAAGGATTGGCTGACAACCCTTGACATCAGCCTACTTTTAATGCAAATTTTGCAAGTATTTCTTAAAATGTCCTGAAATGTTGTCACTTAAATTTTCATCTACTGAACAAATATTTTTCAGGTAAAAATATAGAAATCATGAAAAAAAAGCAACTTTAATTCTGATCAAATTTATTCTTTAAAACAGTATTTCTGAGAGATATAGATTCTATAAATCAGCATCTAAGAAAAACACAAGTATGTCATATTACTGATGCATAAATTCATTTTAAAAGTACAGTGACAAATATACTTAATTTAAACATCTGGCAATGGCAGATGATTTCCCAAATTTTGTATATGTGTGTCTTCAAGCTAAAGCTATTTAAATAAATACATAATTCCATATGTGAACAAACATTAACAGAAAATTCATAAGCATACAATTTTTCTAAAGAACATTAAGAAAGAAAAAATTAATAACTAAAGGAGCAAGAATTTGTCTTCTGCAGTTAGACTTTTACAATCAAAGAAATAAATTTTTATATTATGAGAATAAATTGTATATATTGGTCTAGTATTAGTCTAGAATTAATCTATATATCCATATAGACACCCTGCTAGTCAAAAACACTCATTCATCTACAAGAGCCTTTTTCCAAAATCTTTTAGAATCAACAGAAACAGTCGTGCAGCCTTCGCACACTTTTTAGAGTTCATCTTTTATATAATTTTCAGATAAGCTTTCTCATTGAAATAATGTTTCTGTAAATTGTAAGGTAGATAGAAATGTCACCTCTGATTGATTTTGGAAATATGAAAGGGGATTTGTTTCTTAAGTAACAATTAGTGAATAACTACTATCTGCTCACTTTTCTACTGCACTGGACCCAAAATATATTTTCTTGGTAGCCACTGAATAAATCTCTGTCAATCTACATCCATGATACCAACAATTGTTAAAGTTTGGAAAAGTATACTAGGGAACTGAGTACTCTGTATTTACTCAGTTCATATAGTCATTATCCAGAGCATTAGTTACTAGAGGTAAAGTAGATAATGCATATTTGACAGGCCTAGCTGATTTAGAATCACAGTCTAAAAGTTTTACATTCTTCTAAGGGAGGATTCTGTTCACAAGTGTAACTTTTTATCTAGATTTCTGAGTGCCTAGAAATAAGGGCATCTTCCTTTTCGTTTCAGAAAATCTTGTTAAAGAAACATGTGAGTTCAATGAAATGCTCACATTTTTGTTCATATTTTCATTTTAAAAATCAAATAAAAAATCCAAACTGGACATCTTTCTTCAAGCAAATCATTAAATATCTACATCCATTTGCCAGGACACAGGAGAGAACCTAATGTTTGTTTGTTCTGTCTGCATTTAAGTTACCATTGAGAAACAATTGGTAATATTCCTGTTTCTACTGTAATTAGTCCAAAATATCTACAAATACAAACTATCTTCACATATTTAAAACATATTAATTGCACAAAATTTAAAAATATTACCAATATTATTATTAGTATTATTATTAGTAGTAGTAGTAGTAGTATTAGCAGAAGAGGGGTGCCATTCTTAGGTTATTAATATTTAAATCATCCAGATTGCTACGGGCAGCTAGGGCAAATAGTTGACATCAGCTTTCCCTTTTCAGCAACAGAAAAATGTCAAAACTGAAGAAAGTGCACGTCACAGATCAGTCTCCTGTTTTCAACTTGTTCAAGGGCATTAAACTACATCACAGCTCAAGTAAACAGTTTCTCAGTTCTAGAAGAGGCTACTATGTTAGAAATCTAACACAGGATGCTCTGAAGATCCATATTTGACCCCCTTTACAAAAACAGATACCTTGTGTTGATGGTGCTCACTAGAAATGAGTCCCACAGGGTAATCACACAACTACACTCTTCTAAATCCCATGGAAATTACTGCCAGAATAAGTTTAAACATGTCTGTTCTTCCTTACAGTACTCTGGTTTGTATAGTTAAGAACAGCCAGTTTACTTGTTTTACACAGCATGTTATTTACTGTTCTCACTTTTGCCTTCAAACGTTAACCACATTTGTTTCTCAAACCTTATATGACAGCTTTTCCTATAGCTGATATAATTCTTGTTGCTACTTTTCTATTCTCATCTGGTTTTTTGACATGGTAAGTAAACATGAGTTGCACTTGAATGCTCTATTGATGTAAACAGTGATCAGAAGCATCTTAGGTTGAAAAAATACACAATTTCCATTTCTTTCTCACCTAAAAAAAGTTTTGCCAAAATCATTTACTGATTTGATTTCTGCAGTAAAGCACATAAAAAGTTGTTTCCTACCTTGTATTTTAACTCACCTATAAGACTCTTAACAGGGGAATGAATACATAAGCCTACTAGAAACTCCCAAAGGGTGAGAGACAGTAAAAATATTTCCCGGATATGTTTGACAGTGAAACTTTCAATTCATTTTTTCCCATTCATTTCTTTGTCTCATGACAGTCTGCTCTCTTTTTTAAACTTAATTGCAAAGCAGACTTTTTACTGGCATGACCATGGAGAAGCTCAGCAATAGAAGCTCTTCTATTGCTAATTTAGAGACTGACACAGAGCTTCAATCAGCCATGTATTATTCTTTCTAAACTGTATGACAACAATATGACATACCTTCTCAGAGAAGATACATCTTCAAGAGTGAAATGCAAAGTACATTTTTATCACTCAATAAGTGAAATATAAAATAAATAACCTATATTTTTGTACATTCCAGGATATTTTATATAATACTGGCAGTGAATGAGAAAATCATCACAGTTGTGTACAAAATTTAGAGGATTTGAAAACAAAATGTGCAGGTGTGTGAAAGAAATTTAAGTTATGTAATACACAATGGAATTACCTAACTGATAATCCTAAATAAGATTCAACTACACTGGCCTATCTTTCTTCAAAATCAAAAATAAAATTTGGATTTATGGAGGAATCACTGAGCAAAGTTGCATGAACCAAGGCATACACTGTTGCAAACTGGGAAGTCCCTACTGGTCTAAAAATATTTGTCC